TATTTGCACTGCTTGTTCAAGGTGACTTCTTTGTGAAAACTTTTCACCGGTCAATAGCTTGATCATTGATCTTTTAACATTTTGCCAAAGCAGGCTGTCTCTCCTGCGTGTATGTGAATATGCAAATATGAAACCGGTATTCGTTAGAGCCCCGACCTCACTGGGTCCCACTGTCACTTATGATGTAACTTGATGAAACGCATTTAGGCAAATAGTTTCACCATTTCCCTTGTTGTGCAGCCAGAGTTTGAAGTTGACTCTTGCATTTTAATGGTAATACATATGGATTTATTGTGTCACTTACTTTTTTAACTTGCTTATTTATTTGGTCATTGTGCAAATGAATTGAATAATTCGGTAACACTTTCTATGAAGGTCATCGCTATAATGACTTTTTCATACATTTATAACACGATATAATGCCTCCATAAGACATTATAACAATTGCTATAATCACTTACAAACATGCATTAGGAGCTATAGCAAAATTCATAAGGTATTATGACCTTTTGATTTAATGTTTTATAACTAATAGTAATACCATCAATACACCAAGCATCGAATCTTCGACTATTGGGGGTCAGCCCTAATAGCCCTAATAAATATATAGCACAAAAGGAGAATGGCAAGTCAAGAAATGAGGATTCTTTAGGTATATTTATTAAGAAATTATATTTACTTAATTATTCAGGAAAACCATATTTTATTGTGACTTGGCCACTGACAGATGAACATGGAAAATGTAAGCCAAGAGTGTGAAACACTGTCACTGTTTCTGCACCACAGTCCATTATAAACCACACATTAGATAAAGTTTATACAAATATTGACAAGGGAAAGACATTAATTCTCTCTGTGATTATGGACCATCACCAATACTGCCCGCCAACAATAATATCTGGCCCACTGACAGATTAAGGTGCTTTGAAAAATATAAATAAATAAATGCTTTGATAGTTGTGCTGAAATAGAGCTCAGTCATGACAGCAACAGTTACTCACATAGTCACTTCCTCTTATTATATAGCTGGCATGGATTTGTATGGACTGTAAAATCAAATGTGTGTAATGTGGGTTGTGTGTAAAAGTAGAAACAGTAAAATGTGTTTCTAAGGATTTTTCATAGCTTTGGTCTTTGCTTTATTTCCAAAAATCTGTACTGTGACAGAAATCAAATCTTATGCACCATTCCACCCATGTCCCTTTACAAATTACAACGGTAATGTGCTTTTTTCACAGTTGTTACATGGTGAGCATCTGCCGGAACTGCAGTAAGTCAGCCTCAAGCCTCCTGCAGAGTGGCTACTGACATACAGCTCAAAACTGAATTCCCTATGAAGAAAGAATATAAAAATCACAATTGCAACAAGCGATAAGTAAGAATTCCCATGTTATAAATCTGTCTTAAATCCATGACAGGTTAACATGTTGTCATATTTCATTACATTCCTTCCAATCCAGACTTTACAGGCCTGCCAGGAAGCCAAATTTCCCCCTTATTTACATTTATCCATTTAGCTGACACTTTTATCCAAAGCGACTTACAATTGCTATATATGTCAGAAATCGCACGCCTCTGGAGCGTCTAGGGGACAAGTGTCTTGCTCAGGGACACATTGGTGGATGTGTCTGAGTGGGAATTGAACCTGGGTCTCTCTCACGCGTGTGTCTTATCCAATGCGCCATCACCACCCCATGGTTCACAATATCTAGGTGAACCATAATAATTATAATGATTTGTATACCAGCAGTTGTTTTCACAGTATGAATCGTCATTTCCTCAGTTGGGTTTCAAGCTGAGATGAGAGAGAGAGAGAGAGAGTCTCTTTAATGTTGTTTACTTCTTATCAGCCTGATTACCATTCTCATTTGTCTGTCTCAGGTAGATCTTAATTGAATAAACTCCTGTGTGTCACTCCTTGCCACACAAACCATACAATGCAAAAGATAAAGAGTACTGAGGACCACTGCGAAAAGTTGTGAGGCGCGCACACACACAGACACTCAAAATGCTGCTTCATTTCACTGATGAAGGTGACAACACATAATAAATACAGACTATAGCCTCACTGAGCTGTTAGCGCCACCACGTGGCCACACAGTAAAAGGAGCTCTAAGATACAGATTTGAAATGATTGCGTTATTAATTTGAAGCGCAGGCAGGCTGGCAGTTCATACACTTAAAGAGGTGGTATTATGCTTTTTGGCTTTTTCGCTCTCCTTTATTGAGTTATATACCTTTTTGTGCATGTAATAGGTTTGCAAAGTGAAAAAGCCTAAAATCCAGCCAAAAGGGAGTTCCCATCTCCCACAGAAAACACTGCTCTGAACTTATTTACCCAAGTAAATACGTGTCATAAGCACACATAAGCATACAGATGCCTTGAATCCCATTGTGACGCTATGAATTGCACCAATGCCTAATTGCCAAACAATGTTATCTTTTGTTTCCCACCAAAAACCTAATGAAAGGATCATGACAGTGGACAGGGTTAGATTTGTAACCACTACATAAGTGAAATAAAGGGTAATATATGGGATCTGTGCCCTTTTCCACATACAGGCCTGAAAAGCAGACCATTTTACTGTATAGTACATGAACTCTGAACTACCTCAAGAGGTGAGCTCAGGCTCTCCAAACATTCCCACAAACCCCACAGGTACCCGCACTAACTTTGGCAAAAAGGCTTTTAATTTTGCAGCACCATCTGCATGAAATCAGCTTCAGAATGAACTACAGTTGAAGGAGTCTCACTTTATTCTTTTAAAGGCTTTTTAAAGGACCTTGCAGAAAGGGAGTCTGTCTGTCACTGTTTTTAAATTGATTTAGGACCCCTTTTTTTTTTTATGATGTCATTGTTGTTTGAATATGATGAGTGAAAGTGTGTCTATATATTTACCTGTAAGTGTCTATTTGTAACCGCGCTGCTGCCACTTGCCAGGACACTCTTGTAAAAGAGATTTTTAATCTCAAGGAGTTTTTTTATCCTGGATAAATAAAGGTTCGAATGAATTGAATGAATGAAAAATGTGCTGGCCTACCACTGGAAAAGTCAGATTCAAGCAGTGTCAAAATACAGCATCGACAGAGCTGGCAACTCCATTTCAGTACTGGAAATCATGTGTAGAGAAGGAGAGCAGGGCGAGAAGATGAACCCTGCACGAATCGGAGACATACTAGTGGGAATACCAAACAAAGGCAAAGAGAGTGGACGGACAGATGTGTGTGCTCATTAAAATATAAGAGATACGAGGGGATTCTGCAGCTGGCATGTAGTGTGTAGTAGAAACATAATGGGATGGGGTGTTTATGTGAAGAGACTGACTCAGTGAAGAGCAATCTGATCATATGAGGACAGCTCTGTAAAAGGATATAATTGGTTCAGAAAAGAATCGTTGTGAAGTCCTGGTGTTAATCCAAACATCCCCCGAATCATGTCATTCTCGCCTCTTTTTACAGTCCTGGGAGGCGTATTGGATCAGGCCTTGGCAGCAAAACTGAGTACACTCATCTGGAGTTAGCTACAGGCGGATGGGACTGTTTCACAGTCCTTTCCTGATCTGTCCCATGAGCTGAAAAATGTGGAGCACCTGATTTATTATGTAATGTTATGCTGTAGCATTGCAATCCATGTCAGATTTGAGCTGGAGCCACCAGTCCTTGCTGGGAACATCCTGAGGTCAAGATTCTATGCCGTCTTGCAGTTTCTAGCTTAGAGGGGAGCAGACCAAACTGAGAGACAATGGAGGAGAGAGACGTCTTAGTTGGGGAGTCCAGGAGAGGGGCGGAGTTGTTGCTGAAGAACAGATAGTGCCAGGCTTTAGTGGTAATAAAGCCAAGGTCATAGCATGCCACACGTGCGGCAGTAGCTCAGTCTGTAAGTATTAGGCTGGGAACCGGAGGGTCGCTGGTTTGAATCGGTAGCTGGAGAGGTGCCAGTTCACCTCCTGCCAAAGGAGGCCTTGAGCAAGCTCCCAAATCCCCAACTGCTCGGGGCGCAGCACTGACTGGCAGCCCCCTCATCTCTGTGTGTTGCTATGGGTCATGTTTGTGCATGTGTGTGTATTTCAGACCTGTGCGTATACTAACATAATAACATTGAGTTGATTAAATAAAGTGTATCTTCAGCTTCACTGGGTCAGAGGTTGGCTCTGTGATGAGGGGCTGGAGCCAGGACACAAGGCCAGACAGAAACATGGCACTTTACATAGCAAGGGATCCGAGAAGACGTCTTCTAAATAATGTTCAGAATTTATTTAAATTCTGGGTGTCTCCCAACAATGTTGTTTTAATGTATTTTATTTCTTAACTATGGCTGGTATCTCAAGGTTAACCATTAAAATAAACTAAATAACTAACACATAAAAGTTTTACCTGTAAAATACAATTTACTTTTTGACTGCACTAATCTTTTTATTTGCCACTAGTGGAAAAATATCCCCAAAACAAGATGGCAGATAGCCCTGACTTTACAAACATGTTTGGTTAACATTTTAGCAGTAAATAACTTACTGTACTTTACACATCCAGTAGACAGCATTATTGTTATATTGTTATTTTGTTTATGGTCACCTTGTTGCCCCATATGTTGCTGTCTGCCCAGGATGACAACATCTTTGCCATCTTTGCCAAACCTAAAGTTTAAATCCAGTATTTGAACAGCTTTTCAGAAACTACAAACATTCCACAAGAGACAGTTGTGTTGAGGTCACATATAGAAATGGCCACTTTCGAAACGTCCAGTTATATTATTGTATTATATTCACATTTTATAAACCATCTCTTTTGGTTTCTACAAACTCCTAACAGAAAGGTTAATTGGTGTAGTAGCAGCAGACTGTGGAGAGGAGTGCCTATTTTTATGAATGTAACATATAAATATTCAACATTATTCTACAAAAAAGCATTGTTCATATTTTCATTTTCATTTAGCCAAAATTCAAGATTTTTACTCAGTCATACAAAACATGAAACTGGGTCTTCGAACTATTGTAGCAATCAGCAACGCCCATTTGTCCGACAGCACCTGAAGGCAGCAGCAGTCACGCGTTGTTTGCTTCACTGAGCAAATATGGCGGACGATGGCGAGTCGCTGGAGTCCTGGCTTAGTAAGTTCACACTAAAAACTCTAATTTCACGTAATTTGTTCAAATTAGAGGTGTGCACGTATGTGCTGCATAACCGTAGCAGTCTGAAACGTTTATTGGACTCACATGACATTCCTGAGTCTGAAAGGTATCGTGCTAATTCGTCTGAGTTGTCAGAAAGTGTTGCTGATGGATCATGTCGCTAGCCAAAATCAGCTTTGATGTTTGCTTTGCTTTGCTTTGCTTTGCTTGTGTCCTTAACTTTAATCCGTATGCCGTAGTGCTTGCTAAAATGTGATTATTCTATTCTACTGGTGACCCCATGGTACGCTTTTGCTTTTACACTCTGGAGCTATAACAGCTTTGTGAACACCTCCAGGCGTTAACTTAATCCAAGTTCAAACAGGACTTGCAACAACAACATCATGGAAGTGTCTGGAGGCTGTTAATCTAAGATACAGTGAAAACGTCGGATAACAACTGTCAGGCTTGTTTGTAAGCTGGTCTGGGAAGGGATAGAGCTTGATGCCCCAGGGTTGAATTACATCTGGGTCATGTTTATGTATCACAAAGCTCCAGGCTTCATTAGCTTTCCAGGATAGCCTGTTTACCATAGGTGTATCAACTGCCAAGATGTGCTGTTAGGGCTGCATGTCCATGAGAAATAATTTTCTTCTCTTTCAGACAAAGCCACCAACCCTTCCAACAGACAGGAAGACTGGGAGTATATAATGGGATTCTGTGACCAAATCAATAAGGAGCTAGAAGGGTATGGTCACATTCTTTCAATAAACCCATTTTCACCCAGATTGTGAATCACACCCATGCAGTGTTGCTCATCTGTGTTTCCATTGTGGTTAAACACATGGAGCTTATTACAAAGCCTATTATAACCCAGACTCTGGATTGCTTTTGTTATTGCTTTAGCATTTGATTGGTTCTTTCATTCATATTTTGCAGGCCACAAATATCAGTTAGACTGTTGGCTCACAAGATTCAGTCCCCTCAGGAATGGGAGGCGATGCAAGCATTAACGGTCTGTATTGTGATCATTTCACTGTGTTTCTCATTTTGATGTCCTTCGGCATTAAATGGTACAATCTGCGCTTGTTTTCCTTTTGTAGGTTCTTGAGGCTTGTATGAAGAACTGTGGGCGAAGGTTTCACAGTGAAGTTGGGAAATTTAGGTTTTTAAATGAATTAATTAAGGTTGTTTCACCTAAAGTAAGTACAATAGATGCTCAACCCCCCACTAATGGGGATATGTTTACTTGAATTGATGTTTGGTGTCATTTGAAGTTATGCATCTGTTATTTTTCAGTATCTAGGAGACAAAGTGTCAGAGAGAGTGAAGACAAAAGTGATTGAGATGCTGTACAGTTGGACTACGTCTTTACCAGAGGAAGCAAAGATCTCTGAAGCGTATCAGATGCTGAAGGCACAGGGTGAGAAACCAGCCGCTTTAAAACAGTTTATGTATGCGGATATAATAACACAGTAAACAAAATGATTGCATATCAGTGACATCCAAAAATAATGTATTGAACAATCGGTTATGACTATCTTTTAAGGTAATTTTGTCACCTTGAAGACCCAAAACTATCATTTGCAGACTAGAATAGCTGTCTGTTGTCATTTTTATTTTAGGTATTGTTTCAGTTGACCCAGAAATCCCTCTTGATGCCACATTAATACCATCACCTTCTCCACGACCCAAGAATCCTGTGTTTGATGATGAGAAGAAGAGCAAGGTAAGAAGGATTATTTTAGGATGTGATTGTTGAATGCTGCAACTCACTGCACATAACTCTGTCTTTTTCTCGTTTTATCACTGTTACAGATTTTTGATGAATTGTTTCATTGACCCAGATTAGATCATATATTAACATTTAAGATAATGTATCTGTTACCCTACCTGTACTGCATGTGTATTTCAGTGTAGGGGTAATATGATACCTCTGTAGTTGAAGTATCTTGAGTGCTTGCATATTTGGCCACCATACTCAGAGCCTCTCTGCCGATGATTTGACAGTTTGACAGTTTTGGACATTTTGCTTTATTCTTTTTCTTGCTGAGAGTTTGCTTACCTGCAGGAAGTTAGTGCAGTCGTTCAAGAAATAGCCCAGCACATAACTCCCTTTAAAACCACAACTTGTCGTTTTTGCTTTGTTTTCTGTATAAATTAAATTAACAAGCTATAACATGTTTATTAGTGAGCTTTAGAGGTGTTGTAAGGCTGCTTTGTTTAACCTTTGGACAGAGCCAGGCTAGCTTTTTACCCCAATGTATTAAGTCTTTATGCTAAGATAAGCTAAGCATCTACTGGCTGTAGCTTGACATCTGACAGACAGATATGTGAGTGGTATCAGTTAGGCTTGGGCGTTCTTCTTTATTTCTTATTGTTCAAGCATGGAACACTTAAGATCACCGATTGCCAAAACTTTAGGCTTATTAGCTTTAAGAGAAACCAGAAACATCTGTAAATGCACAGTACAGTGTTTCCCAGAGAATTACTGTACAACTGTGCTCAAAGTCAACTTGAATGCTTTAGTTTTGGACACATTTATGGAGTGGTGTTGATGATACTGACCATTTAAGTACGGATTGATTAAGGAATTGCGGAAAATCCGGCAAAAATCTATCCTCTAGCACATGATCATGTTTTGATTCAGATTGTGCACAAGGTGTGGAGGGGCTATATACAGGCCGCTCCATTTTAATCAGACTGTATATAAGAAGTGGACGTAATCATCGTGACGTCACCCGTTTGTTTGTGGGCTGCCGTTTTGAAGCCTGGAGTTTGGCCATTAGGCCGCCACCATGTTGATTTCTTTTTCAAGCAGCGTCACTGGACATGACCATATTTGGACGAGACTGGAGCCAACGGCTTTGTGTGGAGCGAGCTAGCTTGGCTAGCTAGGTGCATTTGTAATTCACTTTAACTTTTAACCGGGATGATAATTTTGTCTAGTGAACAACAGGCTTAAAAGAAAATGTACTCACCAGAGAAAATGAACATCCGACCCCTAATGAGTTTTTTTTCCAACGGCGCTGGTTAAATTTACACTATGCCGTGGGTACGAGTCACTCTAGCTTGATTTATAGGTTGCCATGGTAGCGACTTAGGGTAGACCCACCCTAAAGCATACGCTGCTTTATTGTCTATTGTCCCCTAAATGGGACCATAATTTACTAAATGGACATCATGCTGTATTAAAGAAGACATGAAACTAGCTATTAAGACCATAAACTCATTATGAAAGTGTTTACGGAGTTAATAAATTAGGTGAGAAGTAGGGTCATTTTACCATTATTTCTAATGTAACTGTACTTCTGTTTTGCAACCAGAGGAGTCACCTCCCACTGGTCGTTCGATAGAATGCAGGTTTAAGGGACTGCATTCGCCTCCCGCTTGGAGGTTCCCGCTTGGAGGTTCCCTCTTGGTTTCAATGTGTTTGAGAGAGAGAGCGAGCGGAGGTGCTGAGCACTCTATGCGCTGCACGCAGCTCCGGCATGAATTATGATTTTACAAATAGTATTTAGTATGTGGCGGTCAGCGTTGATATTGTGGCTTGTTGTGTCGCCACAAATAAGTCAATGAATGGGAAACACTGCAGTGTGGTGCAGATTCTAGAGATTGTTTTTATGTCCTCTTCGCATTTCATATCTGCGCACGAAAAACCAATCGCTGATCAGCCTTTCAATCGCCGATAGCCGATACCTGCATCATCCAGCTGCTATATATACTGCATTACTGGCTTACGGCTTTGTTATGTGAGCATCCCACAGAAAAATTATATCATGTCATTAAAGGTCCATTTGTGACACTGAAGCTGCTCTTCTTGGTTTTTGTTTTCGCTCCAACACCTCACTGTTTACAGCACATCAAAACAGGTCACAACTGCATGTTTACTTTGTCTTGACTGCAGTTGATGTATGGATTAATTTGTTTTTTCAGGGTCTGGGAGCTGAAATAGCATTGCTGCTTGTGTCTGGGAAATGTGTGGGAGTGTTTACTCACTGATGATTCCTCTCATCTCTCTGCAGAGATTGTCAGAGCTGCTGAAGAGCAAAAATCCTCAAGATCTGCAAGAGGCCAATCGGCTCATCAGGAACATGGTCAAAGAGGTGTGCTGGTGTCAATGAATCTCCAATGAAATGTTTTGATACTTATACTTTTGTTTTATTTGAGCCCACATTCTGGTGGCTTTCTTCTAGTGAAACTGGAAGCAGCTTACTGCGTACATTTCTCAGTTTTTGTCTCAAAACTTGTGTTTATACTGACATTCAAGTTTAATGAGTACTATCAAGTGCAACTCACTTTTTTAATTTTTTTTTTCCAGGACGAGGTTAGAACACAGAAAGCGACAAAGCAAAAAAGCACACTGGAAGCAGTCAACAACAGCGTCAAACTCCTTAATGAGATGCTTGCTCACTTCAGTCTGGAAGGCTCCACGGGCAGCGAAAAGGAGCTCATTCGGGTTAGTTCTCCTTTACAGCTTAAATGACCTTTGGTAACTACTTCACTTATGTCTTTGGCATTAAACACTGTTATATTAGTCCAAACCTTGCCCATACAGCCTCAAAGCAATGTAATGCAATGTAATTTACTGCTGTATCATTTATCCCTGTGGAAAGAAATAAAAACCGCCTTGTTCTGAGAAAATCCAGTCCTTCGTTAAATGTCATTAAATGTCAAGTATGTTTCAGAAAATACATTGGCGAATTTCCTTATCAAGTAAAGAGATGTGCTCAGTGAACAGCTCAAAGTAATTTATTTCAAAAGTGAATATACTGTGCCTCTCCAGATGTGTGATAACATTTAACATCATATTCTCATGTGACATTAGCTATTAATGAGAATCATTTCTTTTTATATCCTATGATACAGCAGTTTCTGAATGAGATTCAAGATGGAAATATTTGGTGATTGTTGAAAATAATTTTTCCAGGAGTTGTATGGTGATTGTGACAAGCTCAGGCAAACAGTGTTTCAGCTCGCTACTGAGACGGAGGATAATGATGGCAGTTTGGGTAAGAAATCCTGTTGTCTGGCCCTATTGAACCTGATGACGTGCTCTCGCTATCCTAATTTAAGTATAAAAAGATTGAGTCATGATTTAGGCAGGTCTTGTGCTGTGTTGAGTGTCCACTTGAAGTATAAAAAAAACATTCTGCTCACACAGTTCCTAAATTTAGCAACCACTGTGAAAAACATTCGGTTGTTTCAAAAATGTTATCCGAGTCTAACTTATTAAAATGCATTTATTAGGAGACATTCTGCAGGCCAGTGATGACCTTTCCCATGTCATTAATTCCTATAAGAAGATTGTGGAAGGACAGACCATCAATGGAGAGACTGAAGAAGCCCAACAAACACAGTCATCACTCAGACAAGGTACATTTTAACTGGTATGGTATTTGGAAATGGGCAATAAACACATCAGCCTAGTGTTTCAAGGAAATTCCAGTATAATCTGAACAAGATTATGCCAAGTGAATGAACAGTTTTAATTCTATCATATTTTGGCAAATTAGGCTGTATTAACTTAGATATGATGAATGCTAACTGTTTATTGAAGTTACCTTTTTGTGATTAGGTGAGACAGGAAAGTTTCTTCTTAGAAATTGTGCAAAAGTACAACTGCCATAGTTTTCGGAGACCACTATGCACAGCTAAGTCTGTGATTATCTTGAGCAACATTGTTTCTGGAAGTGAACATCGCTCTTGAGCATTTTAAATGCTACCTTTGGATTTCCTTACTCCACAGTGTTGGAATGTGGTAGAGGGTCTGTTTTTGTGTTTGTGTGAACGGGCCTTTTTTAAACTTTGCTCAACAGATGGATGGACACTGACAGTTTTACCCGTTTGAAAATGAATACATCTTTGTTATCTTACGACCTATGTTTTTCTTCATCTGACAGGCGCTGGTTACACAAACCGGTCAGAGATTCTGATTGACCTGCTGGGTCTGGACATCCAGAGCATCTCTCTACAGGAGCAGCAACCCCCGCCATCCTCTCGGTCTATTCCTGCTGACCTGCTGTGTGGGTCTGCCACTGACCCTCAGTCGCCCAGCCCCAGCACACCCTCTGCAGCACTCTCTCTGCTGGATGAAGAGCTTCTGTCTTTAGGTAACGTGTAATATAATGTACTTGAAGAATTTTTATTTTTTTTTCATTAACTGTTGTTTGATAATGTCTTGTTTACATGTAGATATGACATTTTTTGATACATTTACATTACGTTAATTTACAGGCATCAACGAACCTATTCCAAGTAAATCAACACATGGAAACCTGAGCAATCATTTGCCATCTTTAGAGGTATTTAAATCAATGGCAATCATTTCTACTAATGTCAAGTATTTTCTTATTGGTAATAGCAGTGTTTTTATTACCATGAATTCCAGAATTCCAGTCAGGATTTTGATCATTTTGACACCACCTCGTCTTCGGTTCCTGCCTTCTCTACATCTTCGCTTCTTCCAGATGCCCTTTCTATGACAGCCCCCGTTAGCCAAACCAAGTCTTCTTCAACTGCCTCTACATTAAGCTTCCCTGGGCTCGTCTTCTCCATGCCTCCAGTTTCTACAAAATCTGTCTCAAATACATCAGTTATATTCCCACAGCCCCTCAGTTCAGTATTGACCACCACGGCACCACCTGCCATTTCTCAAACATTCAGCAAAGGCGCGCCCGCTCGTTCAGCCACCACTGTCTCTCCACAACAGGTCTCCATTTCATCTGCAGCGTCCCACTCGCCTTTAACGTCTCTCAGTCACAATCTGCAAGACCTTGCCTTGCTGGATCTGGGCAGTCCTAAAAAGTGAGTAAGACTTGTGCCACAAAAACTGACGCCAATCTGTCCATCTGTCACACATATTATCTTGGATGCTGGGTCATATATTTTTTTAAATCTCAGTATGATGCATACCCCCTTTCTAGTTTAAAGGCACGTCTTTTCACTGAGATGTTTAACAGCGATTTCTCCGTTCTGCCATAGCAGTGAGTCTCAACCACGAATTTCTAGATGGCAGGTCGACCCGCGGTATTCCGTTAATCTTTGATACAAAGTAATCAGTGGGTGACCCAGAAGCCACTCAAGAGTGCGTGTATGTGTTGAGCACTGTAACTAAGCAACATTGCTCAGAGCAGATGGTGAAATGCTTTATGTGAATGCATTTTAGAATACTTTCCAAATTACATATCAAAACATAATAGTAGTTTGTATCATATCAGTTTAATCAAAATGTGAAGATCATTTATAAGTGGTCTTGCTGAGTGCCCAGGTTCAAATGTTAGGAGGCTGAGATTTTGTCTTGTATTGGTGTGAAGCCAAGTGCCTGTGCATTCCACCACTAAACCTGCACAGTGCTCATAACAAGAGTATGCTCAAACCTGCACAGTGTTCATTATGCATTTTCGGGTAGTAATTTCTTTCATCCTGCTTCTGTTATCTTATTCTTCCCGTAGGTCATCAGTGTTCATGTCTGTCATTCTAAGTTTAAGCATTATGGGACCTTTAATGTCTTTAACAAAGACTCTTGAATTATCCACACAGTATGCCACCTGGTTTGATGGACTTTGGCAGCTTGTTGGACAAGAGTGAGGATCTGCACACTCCTGCTACCATTACTTCTAGAGTCACCTCCAACACATCCACCTCATTGCTCCTTGGACGGATCCAAGGAGGGTCCACTCCCCCACCTGCCAATAGTCAGGCAGATGACAGCCCTCTGTTACGCTCTCTGTCCCCCATCCTCCCTCTGAGCCATGCCAGTCCAGAAAAAGAGGTGTCCCTGGCCGATGTCTTCGTCCCCTTGGATGTCATCAAGCCAAGTGAGTTCTGTGAAATAGGCTGTATGCTTTGTTTTGTGTGTTTTATGAGTATTTGAGATGATTGTTGCTTTTGATAATTATTTGTAGGAGAGGGAGTAACAGGAAGATATTTGAGACAAATGAGGACATTACACTGGGTCAGATTTCTCCATGCAGTTTTGCCCACCTGTAACTATGAATCCATGTACATGTTTAATTAGAGCCCATGATGTTTGAAAATGATGTTACTGAGTAGGCCAAACTTAAAGGTTTTATAAGACCATCTGTGCAGTTAGCACATGCTGTAAAACGCATTTAATCTAATTTTCCAAGAATCTCATATAATATAATATTTTGTGCACAGAGTACATAGTGTTTATAACAGGTGGTTCAGGTGGTTCAACATGATAAATAGGCCTTGTATCCTCAAACTTCGACCGTAGCATGCATTATTATGGTTTATTGTACCTTTTTCGACTACAATAATTCTAGGTATTGTTCGCCATTTCAACAGCAGTAGTCTAAACGAAAAATTTTGCCTGATCTCCCTACCTCAACAGTGTACCCTGTAGAGAGGATAATCATTAAAGAGATGAAACTAGAGGGGAGAGTTCATGTCTCTATAGTACAGGTATATTAGTAGACTCCAACACCTCTTTATTTGAGACTGATGTGGTTGGAAAACTCAACTTTAGACACTACTGCCACTTAGTGGTGAGAGTAGCAACCTTGATACAACTTGAAAAGACAGGGTGATATTTTCCTAGTTACACTTCATTATGTGGTCTGAGAGTAATTTTCACAGCATGTGCAATACGAAGGACACATATTTAAACATGCCTTCAGTTTGGATTACACTGGGAGAAATAAGAGGTGGTGTATGTGTGAAGGCTCAAATGGTTGCATGCAATGAGAGTCCTATGTGATGATAACTTTTCTCCCCCCCTTTGTGTGCTGTATTTAAGGCAAAGTGTGTCCTGTGACGGCATATGACAAAAATGGGATCCGTGTTCTGCTGCATTTTGCCACTGACTGTCCAGCAGGCAGACCTGATGTACTGGTGATGGTGGCATCCATGCTTAACACAGCCCCGCTGCCTGTCAGGAACATTGTTCTGCAGGCTGCTGTGCCCAAGGTATAACCTGCTGTACCTCTGTGATATCACTGTTACCACATAGGAAGCAACACACTGTGTGTTAATATTTAAAAGTATTCAATTTGGCAGATGTTTAACTCATGGATGGTTTGTTCTGCCAATTCTCCAGATGATGAAAGTGAAACTGCAATCACCCTCAGGGACAGAGCTGGCCCCTTTTAACCCAGTCCTTCCCCCCGCTGCCATCACTCAGGTTATGCTACTTGCAAATCCTCTCAAGGTAGAGCTCAGCCTGGAGCTTTTTTGTCTTTATCAATGTATTTTTGAAATGATTTTAATATTTACTATAATAATGTAATGTATTCATTGACAGAGCTCTCTCTTACTTCAGCAGTGTTTTTACTCATGTTTGAGGTCATACTATACATCATTAAATCTTACAGTCTAATGTCTACTAGTGTGCTTTGAGGAGATAATGATCACATTGACAATGCACAAGGTTGTGTGTGTGTGTGTGTGTGTGTGTGTGTGTGTGTGTGTGTGTGTGTGTGTTCGAGCAAGCTAATGAAAGCTGACTGTGTGTATATGTGTTTTGCAGGAAAAGGTTCGGATGAGATACAAACTGACATTCATGCTGGGAGAGCAGCCACACACGGAAGTGGGGGAGGTGAATGAGTTCCCGCCTGCTGACAGATGGGGGGCTCTATAGTCCTGCCTACTCCTTCAAGCTGACCCGACTTCTTTAACAATTGCGTTTGTCAGTGCAGCCCAGAGGTCAAGAGAAAAGGACAGTATGGAAGGCTTTTAAGAAAAATTTACAGAATGATCTAAGTTTTAATGGACCCTTTTGAATGAGTTTTTCTGCTTACAATGGCCCACTGAAGTAGCCAAAGTCCTGCAGCATACATCCAACTTTAGTACAGTGCTAGAGAAATTGAGTGAAGTAGTTTTATGTGGGGAAATCAGTGGTAATTTTAAATATTGCCAAGTTGTTATTAGGTTTACTGTTTGCTGTTCATATTTACTCCTGTCCCTCAATCACGTCAGAACTGATTAGAGAATACTTTTGGATCCCAGACAGTCTTAATAATAAGCAAAAACACATGTGTAAAGAGATTGTGAAGCCAGGGTCATAAGGGCATGTGACCAGCACTTCACATGATTTGCTGCTGCTGATGTATGATAACAATGTTTTGCGCTGAAGACGTTAGACTGGAGCAGAATATTGCTCCTCTGTGGCTAAATAAAAGGCACTCAGAGTGGCTGATCAAGAATCAGTTGCTCTCAGTTGACTTCTTCCAATATGCCACACAATTACTACTGAATACTTTGTGTTATGAGTTCTATACTAACTCATAGCTCAGACTATTGTTATGTTTTTTTATTCATTCAGTATTTATTGTCATGAATGTGTTTATTTATTCTAGTTTGGGGAAGAAGGTATCAGATCTTTTATTTTCCTGTATGGTATAACAATAGACAGTTTTATTTCTTCTGCATACTCTTGTTATGATGGACACTTTAAGTATTGCAGTGAGAAAGGCACAGATCAGTAGTGGTCTGTCTAAGAGCCTTTAATCTTACCAAATATTCAATAGATATTTTATAATATGTTACATTACGTAGCAACAGGGTGGACATGAATTACATGTCCAGGGCGTGCACTCTGGATAGCATTTTATTATAGAAATGTAATTCCTGTAAGATAAAACGGCTAAAGTTAATGCCATGTATAGCTTTGCTCTTGCTCCTGCAGTTAGACCATGTTGTGGAAACCAAGCTAAAGGGGTAGGTTATTCCCTTGGGTCAAGTGTAAATGTTTAGCTTGTGTGAGAGATTCATACATCAAACTAGGGAAATGTTTCTTTGGATAAGCCTTGGAAAAAAACTTGGTGGTTAATTCAAAGCATTAGTCGTAGGAGTGCTCATAAAAAACTGATGACTGATCTTTCTGGGGCTATCAGTGCTATATAGAATATTCTCAACATATTTCTTATAAGATTATTTATTTGTCTTAGATTGGTAAATGAACTTGACATTGCATATTTTTGAAAAGCGATTTATGTGCATGGAACAATAAAGAATGAGATGGATTTATTTGTATTACAATTCCCACATATTCTTGCCTCATTTTTCAGTGACTAATGTCAGTGGAGTAGAATATTAAGCACAACATTGTTGAGGTGCATTTTTATTTCATATTCTTTACTTAGTGGTAAGTAAAAGTAGTAATAACACAGTGAAAACTCTAAGTAAAAGTCCTGCACTTACCGAGGTTGAGCATCAAAAATAATCTTGCAGCAATGAATCCTGTCATTATATTCTATATTATACCATCTGGATTATTATTGCGGATGCATTGCAACATGTAGCTGGTCAAGTTGTAGCTAATTTTAACTGTCTCATCGCAGTTTGGTAGGTAGGTGGTGTAGTGTAGTTTTTGTGGTGAGCAGCGTTGGTTTCTAACTATGGAACATCCAAAGTGACAGAACTGAATGAAAGAATAAATAAATAAATGGGGAAATAAATGCAAGAAAGAATGAATGAATAAATACATACATTTGCTTTTGCCTTTCCCCAAGGAGACCTGTTGTCATTGATTTTCCCTTCCTCTTCCTTAACTGTCAATCAACGTGTTGTGGCCCGCCCACTAAGTCAGGTCTAGCAGCCGATGACTGATACTATCTTCAGTGTGGATATGCTGTCCTTGGAAGAGTGTTATGATTGGTAGAAAGTTTAGAAGGAGTTATGCTGCGTTCAAGACCGGTCGGAACTGGGATATTTCCCAGTTGAAACTTCCGATTTCCCACATCAAAGCGTTCCAGGTGCATGGTGGTGCATGAAACCGAAAGTGAACGAAAACCGTGGCTATGACAACGTGTACACACAGTTGCACCCTCAGCAGTGTTTTAGGTGTTAATTATTTGGATGGCAGCTTAACTGCAACAACTTAATATAACATAAATAGCCTATAGTTACTAGTTAAAGGTTCAGTGTATAATATTTCTGAGGATCTATTGACAGAAATGCAATATAATATCCATAACTATGGATAACTTTATTACCTTAGAATGAGCTATTTATATCTACATACACGAGGCACCCCTTGCTGTGGAGGTCGACATATTGTGTTTCTACTGTAGCCTACAGTGAACAAACAGCGCTTTCGTCACTACCTTGAAAGAGAAGCAACAGAAGAAGCAGCAGAAGAAGTAGAAGCGAAAGCATGATGAAGCCAGATTTATAACGGGAGCGACGCAGGCAGAAATCACGGTTAAACATCGGTGTGGCTTTTCCCAGATGGAAGAAGGGTCTAATGAGGGAAAAATGTTTTCTAAGCGACACCGAAGTTGCCAGTTTTCTGATGGACAGGTAAGGTATTCTAACTTTAGCATTGCAAATGAAAACTGTTGTTTGATAATGTTAGCATTAGCCAGAAGCTAGCCATAGACACCGTGAGAAGTGACTTTTCCCTTGTCAGTGGTGTAAAATATGCAGTTGGATAGTTTCATGTGGTTCTTCTCCCTCGCTGTGTTATGGCTTTGCTATATGGGGAGAAATGTGCTGGTTACGTTCGTGAGACAATCAGCTGATTAGTATTATTGACCACAAAACAGTAACGTTAGCCTACAGCTAACAGCTCATATTAGCCAGCTAAACTTTTACTACCCCGTTAGAAGAAATATGTAATGTTAGTTGGATTGTTATTTCAAAGGTTGTTCTCCAGCACTTTGGCTTTGTTTAGTGAACAGAAATGTGTCTTTTGTGTTTCTGAGACAATCAGCTGATGATTACAATTAGTTAAAAAACCGTAACATTGCATGGAGCATGGTGGCTCAGATTAGCAAGCTAAATGTTTACTGCCCTGGGGGAAAACATTTATTTTTACTGCTAACAGCATTACGATAACAACACTGTGTGCCTATCAAGTGACTAATTATGCTTATTGTCAGAATTTACATTAGAAACAACGTATTTGTTTGTGCTTCTAGGGTGCATACAAAGGTTACCACATGCTCAAATTATGGCACTCAGTATTTATTTGTGTTATAATATATTGTAGAGCACCCTTGATCCTCACCTGACTATGGCTTTATAAACTTTATCCATGATGTGTTTTATAATGGACTGTGGTACAGAAACAGGGACATTTTTACACACTCTTGGCTTACGTTTTCCATGTTATCTGTCGGTGATCATACTTGCACTAGATGTGATAGTTTTTGGGATGTTCAGTTTGTTAGGCCAGATGAGCAAACCCTACCAAGATGTAACACATTGTGGATTACAGTACAGTAATGTATTACAGTCATGTAGCACTTCATTTATTGAGGCTGCTGCTGTCTCTCCAGCTACGAGACAGGTCCTGCAACATCGACTCCCTTGAAGTGAAAACGTCCCAGAGAAAGTCCCAGCTCCAGCATTGTCTAGCATTGGTGCTTCTAGTGTAACAGACCGGTAAGTCATGCATAACAATATATTAATTTTGTCCTAATAGCTTTGATTAGAAACATGAACTTTATGATTAGTGTGTAATTTAAATTTTTGGTCTATATCTACTGTTGAATGAGCATATGTGGGATTTACACAACTTGCTCTGGTTATTCTTTACAGAGATGCACATCTTGATGTCATTCCAGAAGCCACAGAAATTCAGGGCCTTGAACAAAGGTAACATGTACACATCATAACTTTTAGCCCTGTATTGCTTTTGTCCAAATGTTCATAATATATATTTGTAATATGTTTTTTGCAGCTTACATGACATGAGCCTTGTTGAGGAGGACTTGGAGGAAAATGTTTTCAATGACCCAATGTACATGTATTATTTTCCAGTGATATTAGTTGAGAACTTGGTTTTATTATGTAAAGAATTGATTGGGCAGATAAAGCTTCATCTTACTCCCTTGAAAGAGATGATGGACAGAATGGTTTCAGCTCTGATGAAGAGGATCTTCCACCGATTTCTATACGGTGTGTTATTTGTCAGTCTCAATTTGCAGTTGTTTTGTGGTGTTTGTTTACTACAGATTTTTGTGCCTCAATAGAATGGGTGGAGCACTGAAGAAAGCACACTCTATCGATAGACTTCCTTGCCTGCACATGAAGACGCTCCTGATGAGCCTTCTCCCTGTGATCATGACCCTGTTTTCCCAGAACCACAGAATGTCCTTTGTGAAGATGACATCATAGGTGTCAGAGCCTCCATAGTGCACAAGAACTGCTTAAGACAACTGGCTACATTTCTGATCCTGCCTGTGAATAAATGCACTGGCCTTCTGAGGACTGGTGCGCCGTGCAACTCTGTTGCACCCTTTCAGATCAACATCACCACCAAGGGCACAGCAGCTACTATCGAATGGGTAAGTCCAGACAATCACAGAATATCACAACTTTAAATTAGTATAAGATGAAAGGTTATACCAAAAGCCAGTGCTGTACATGACAAAAGCAAATGTTTCTTCTCTGTGACTTTTAGATCTGTCCTAATGGACACAGCTTGTGGAGGTGGAATTCCCAGCCTGTGACGAAGTTTGGGATGCAAGCTGGAGATTTTCTCTTGTCCACCAACATTTTGTTGTCTGGCAACAACTACACCAAGGTTGCCCTCTTGTTCAAATTGATGAACACGGGGATGGTGAACAGGAACACTTTCTTCTCCATTCAGGACACTTACTGCGTCAATACAATAAAGGACTTCTGGGAAGAGAGAAGGACAGAGGTTCTTTGTTGCCTTCAAGGGAAAGATGTTGTTGTCCTAGGTGTGTAGTTGATACTGTATTATGTAACATAGCTATTTAATACACTAAGCAATGACAGTATGGAAACAACTAATAACTGTTTTTCTGTTGAATTATATTTTAAAAAATTTCAACGGATGGCAGAAATGACTCTCCTGGTCACTGTGCACAATACTGCAGCTACACCACCATGGAGAATGACACCAAGGAGATCATTCATGTTGTCACCATAGACAAGCGGCAAAGATCATGGAACTGTCGTCATGGAGAAGGAGGGTTTCATCCAGACTGGACAAGCTTACATCAGAAATAAAGCTAGTGGAGATCTGCACAGATGCTCATGCCCAGATTGGTGCCCTTATGAGTAAGTATTCATGTAATATATTGTATGGATGCATGTGTATAACAGCAATATAAATATTATAGTAACATGACATTATTTACCACTTCATAGACCCAGACAAAGGCAAATACAAGGCCCTTGGAATTCATCACAGTCTGGACATATGGCATGGTGCGAAGAATCAGGGTTATTGAACTATGTGCAGTTGATGGATGACGGTATGGAAGTTTTCATTGCACTCAAAGACAACAGATTTTGTTTACTTTCCTCTGCCAGAAGATGTGTTACTAATTCTAGACATTTGGTGTAGTCATTTAGTGTTGAACCTCTACACACAGACTATAGTTGAATGCCTGTATTTTACAGTAATATTTATTTTTCTCTTTTCAAGGCAGCAAAGATAAAAGGAGAGTCCATCCTCTTCAACTTGCTGAAGGACATAGTCAACCATTTTCGGTGGACTGCTGACACACGTGGGCAGTTTCTTGTAAGCACACAATTTTATTATATCTTTGAGTAATTTCATTAATTGCTATATTAAGGACATATTTATAGTGCATTTTTATGTCTTGCAGGCATTATGGGTTGGCATCCTTCACCATGTCTGCAACATTCACACCTGGACTATGGGAAGTTGCAAACACGGGCACCTTGAATCGGATCAAATGCGGGGAAAGATGTGGATCCAGAGAGACTCCCAGTGCCACAAAGTTTTAGTGGATATAGTTCTCAATAAGAGGTGGCAGAAAGATGTTCACAACTATCTGCGATTCAGGTAGTGTGGCTATACTTTTTCACACTGATGTATATTAGTAATATTTATGCTGACTGCTCATGTACACAGAAGTATGTGTTTGTTTGTTCTATCAGATCGACTGCAGACCTAGAGTCATTCCAGAATCATATCCTGATGTATGCCAGCAAGCGCTATGCTTTCAGCCAACCAGTTTATGAGAACAATGAAAATGTTGGACGGCAAAGAGATGTACGTTTTACACTTATATAATATTCCCATTCATAGTACAATATTCAGCCAATGTTTTATATGCAATATGCAAAATGTCTTTACATTCAAGGTTTTCTCTTGTTCTACTTACAAACTGATATTAAATGGTTGTAATTTGTGTTATTTCAGTTTCAAAAGATTGTATAAGAAGAACGCTAGAAGATACAGCATATATGCCTTGAAATCTGAAAAAACCTACAGATACATTTACGAGTTGTAAAGAAGGATTGTGAAGAACAGACTCACAAGTGGAGTGGGGATGCCTAGAAGGAGGAGCCTTCGACCAGATGACCCCAGACAGCTTGGTTTGGTGCCCCCCGTACCTGCACCAGCCACATCAGACTTGTTACAGAGACAAATCAGAAGAGGTCTAGGTAAGTTACACAAATTTGTTGCCTATGTTGTACCATATTACATGTCACTGAATGATATTTACATTACAATATAGTCTGTAACTATGTGCGATGGCACTGTCTTCAACAGGACCGTTATTCCAACCAGCATCTGATGTGGAAGGATCCCCACAGGAGATCACCTTGCATGTGTCCTGATTCTCGTCAGGCAGGATCACGAGGGAAAGAACTTCAGTTCACTGACAAAGTCATAGCTTTTACTCTTCAAAAAGAGAAATTTATTAACATTAAATTCTGTTCCTACCCTCCTCCAGTGGTTATTTTATGTTTTTCCATTTTGTACACGTTTCATCTTATTCTGCTAAGTCCACTGTGACCAGTGCATATTATTTTCAGTAGGTAGCCTAAATTACAGTTTACAATTTTAACAGTAATGATAAGTAAGGCTACAGCTGTCCCCTATTATGTAAATATAAATAACTAAAATTGGTATTGGAAATGTCATGGCAAAGTTTGAAATTCTAAACATGTTCAAATGTATATAATGAAAATAAAAACACCATGTGCTTCTATTTCTTTTTAATTTTTGATACTATACAACATACATCAATTTAAATAAAGAGGGGAGAAATATGAATAAATATATATAGAAATGTAATAATAAATCAAATGTTAACTATGTACATTTGTTTGATGCCTTGATGATGCTGAGGCAGGTTTGTGAGTATTTGTGTGAAACTGTATGACCATGCCAGAGGGCCTGGAAGGAAATTCACAGTCCAGGAATAAAACCCGTGTAGTGTCCTTGAGGATCAGGGAACTTCTCTCTAATCCTCCCAACACAACAACTAGGGACGACAAGTTGGTTTCCCTGGCCTAAAGCTCCATGTTGCCAATAGCTGAAGTGTCTATAGGCACCATAGCGGTACTCCCTGTTGTCATCCCCAGGCTCCCTGATGTTGCCTAATGCTGTAATGTCCTACCGGTACTGCCTGTGAATGCGAATAAAGCCTTCTTCAAGGCAGTACTGGGAGACGTGTAGCAGTAGGCTCACATAGTTCGTTTGCTCCTGGCCACAGCATTTTCCTACAGTTACCACAAGTACACAAAGGTACTCCTGGCACTCCGGCAGAAGGTGGGGCACCATGTCTGCTCTGATGCATCATCAAGGCATCAAAGACCAGGCCTGGCTGCCTCTCCAGCAGAAGGGTGGAGAGCTCTGTATTCTTCAAGGGTCATCTCTTGAAGAAGTCTGAAGAAAGAGGACACAGTGAAAAATACTCAATATGCAATATTCTCTGCTTCAATACTGTGGTTACTGTGTTGATTTTAAGATTGTATCCATTCCAAATGAAATATACCGGTACTCATAATTACTATTAATATTAATGCACTACTACTATTTATCATTACACTTCTGTTGATGCTGTAAATTACTTTACATGTCCACATTACCTTTATTTAGATTTAGATTTTATAATTTTTATATTTAATTGACATGCAAGCTTAGCAATTGTGACCAAGAATTTCCCCTCGGGTATCAAAGAATTTGTGATTCTGATAAAATAAGGCTTTATAAGTTGCATAACATTATGTTGGCAACATGGTACTGCATATTAGGGTTTGCAGGCTGGCCAGTGTTTGCTCAACTTGTAATATTGCGTCATATAATCATTGTTGCCCCCATAAATGACATGTTACTACTATCTAACGTTACAGTACCAGGGGTACATGTGCACAGATGCTGCTATGTAAATAACGTTATCACTGTGCTGGGTTTTGTCATAAAGTGCAAACAGGTCAGAATATAATAACGTTACAACAACCTTATCAATACAAACCTCGGTAACAGCCCTTGGGTTCTTTTAGAGGGCTTCCACTCTTTCTTCGTCCTCTATTGAGCCATAACTCCGGGTAGGTCCTTTGGCTCTCCTTGCCCTGACAGCACCTCCAACACCTCTGCCTCTCCGCCCTCTTCCTCTCCCTCTCTCTCTTACAGTTATCTCCGGTAAATGGACTTCTGCATTTAGATCACATTGACATGTGCTGGTTCTGTCTAACATTAGCTTCTTCTTCCGTCTTCTTCCTTGTGCTTTTATTGTCAGTTGGCAAACAACTAATTGGTGCATTACCGCCACCAACTGGTATGGAGTGTGGATCAAACCTTTATACATCTCTGATCATGGAGAGAAATATTTCTGTGAGTGATTAGTTGGACTTAGTGGGCGGGCCACAACACGTTGATTGACCGTTAAGGAAGAGGAAGGAAAAAGCAATACACAATAGGTCTGCTTGGGGAATTTTTTCTCTCTCTCTCTCTCTCTTATATATATATATATATATATATATATATATATATATATATATATATATATATATATATATATATATATATATATATATATATATATATATATATATATATATATATATATATATATATATATATATATATATATATATATATATATATATATATATACACACATATACACACACACAATAAGCTGGAAAATGTACATTTTCCAGCTTATAGCCTAATTACATACTTTTAGAAGTAGCCAATTAGAAATAAAAGTAGCCTCCTCAAAGCAGAAAGAAAAATTTCCCATATGACTGTATACTATTATATATTATATCACTAGATTATTATTCCTCATGCATAGTTGGCTGAGGTTGAACTACTTTGTATCAGACTGCAATTAATGATTATTTAATTTTCTCCGTTAACTGATTGTAACAAATTCTGAAAATAACAAGAAATGCTGTCACAGTTCCCTAAGTAAGACCTTCACTGTCCAAACCTCAAAATGATTAAAAATACATTAAAATAATCAAGGAAAAGCAGGAAATCCTCTCGTTTGTGAAGCTGGAACCATGAAATGTTTTTACATGAAAAATGACTAATACCAAAACAGCTGCCAATTGAGCTAGCTGGACTTGAATAAACTGTTAAGAAATTTAATTTACATCAAAACATCCTATTTCTTAAACTCTTCATACGTTTTGTGTGTAAAAAGCTTCTTTTTTTTTAGAGTAACTAAAGCTGTCAGATTAAGTAAAAAGTAGCTACAATATTTCCCTTTGAGATGTGATGAAGTAGAAAGTGGACTAGAGATATTTTTCTATATCTTGGATCTGGATGGAAAGCCATCATCCATCATGATGGTGAAAATGGCTGTCATTGAGCCATATTGATTTGACCAAAAAGTTCTATTTTGGTCTCATCTGACCACATGACTTTCTCCCATGACTCCTCTGGATCATCCAAATGGTCATTGGCAAACTGAAGACGGGCCTTGACATGCGCTGGTTTAAGCAGGGGAACCTTCCGTGCCATGCATGATTTCAAACCATGACACCTTAGTGTATTACCAACAGTAACCTTGGAAACGGTGGTCCCAGCTCTTTTCAGGTCATTGACCAGCTCCTCCCGAGTAGTTCTGGGCTGATTTCTCACCTTTCTTAGGATCATTGAGACCCCACGAGGTGAGATCTTGCATGGAGCCCCAGTCCGAGGGAGATTGACAGTCATATTTAGCTTCTTCCATTTTCTAATGATTGCTCCAACAGTGGACCAAGCTGCTTGGCAATTTCCCCGTAGCCCTTTCCAGCCTTGTGGAGGTGTACAATTTTGTCTCTAGTGTCTTTGGACAGCTCTTTGGTCTTGGCTATGTTAGTAGTTGGATTCTTACTGATTGTATGGGGTGGACAGGTGTCTTTATGCAGCTAACGACCTCAAACAGGTGCATCTAATTTAGGATAATAAATGGAGTGGAGGTGGACATTTTGAAGGCAGACTAACAGGTCTTTGAGAGTCAGAATTCTAGCTGATAGACAGGTGTTCAAATACTTATTTGCAGCTGTATCATACAAATAAATAGTTAAAAAAATCATACATTGTAATTTCTGGATTCTTTTTTTTAGATTATGTCTCTCACAGTGGACATGCACCTACGATGACAATTTCAGACCCCTCCATGATTTCTAAGTGGGGAACTTGCAAAATAGCAGGGTGTTCAAATACTTATTTTCCTCACTGTAGGTATTATCCTACTGTAGGCCTATGTGTACAGAACTGCTGTTCAGTGGGCTCTTGTGGAGCAAAATTTCTTTTTAGTTTTGATACATTTGTATTTTTGAAATATAAGTATATATAAATAGTTTTCATCAAATCTACCTATTGTTATTCTTTGTTTGTTCGGGTCAGTTATTGACTATAGGTAAAATCTAACTGCTAGTAAAAGCTTGGGAGAATTGGCTGGAGCCGAGGGGCTGCTGCTGCAAATATTTGAGTGGCTCCATACTCCTCTAACATGCGTTATCTCACTCTAAACTTTTGATAAATCTTGAGAGCCCTGAGTACATTTTAAGAGCGCTCAGTAGATCTGGCGCAGCTGTGCGCACTGCAGCCGACGCAAAGTGGCGCGCCAGACAGCGCAGCCGCAGTAGAACGGGCGCAGATAGACACAGCAGCAGCAATGGCAGACGAAAAACCCAAGGTGAGGAGCGGGTTTTGTTAAAGGGGTTTCTATACAGTGTGTACCCCGTCCGTGTGCGATAAGTATACAGGTAACACTGTGAACAGCCAGCCGACTAATTCATCAACGGCCGCATAATTTCGAAGAAGGCTTAAGTTAACGCTACAAACCGGAGCTACCGCGTTAGCTAACAAGCTAGTGGGTGAAGTTAGCATAATAAGCTAACGAGGCTAATGTGCCCGAGACCCGCGCGGTATGAAAAAAATGATGTTTTGTCTTTTTAAATACACTTCATTCAAACCTCCTAAATTCCACTGTCCGCAGTAGCGATGCACATATAACATGTAAGTTATCGATATAGTTTTTTACGTTAGCTAGAACCGAAGAAAATTGACTAACGTTAGAGACAGCAACGGGCTAAAAATACATTAACGTTATTTGAGCAATAACTGTTAACGGATCTCACAATTATATTGTTTAATTATGCCCATTACCTGCACACCCAAGTGTAATAGGAAAAGAGGGATTGTTGATGAGTGCAAGTCCTACTTTCCATCCTGATTAGGCCTTTGGGCATTATTACAAGTTGTGGGCCATCTTCAATAGACTTGCTAATGCTAACGTTGAAGATGTTTTCTGTGGTCTGGAGCTACAGTAGTAATCTGATTTTAGGCGTCAAATAAATGTAACGGTGGTTTAAAACTCCATTTATACACGCGATGTGAATAACGTTAGTTTTATTCTTTTGTACCAAGTCATTGTGTCTGACTGATGGAAAGAGTTATGTGGTTGAGTGCTTGCACAAGTGTTAACGTTGCATATGCTGGAAGTGACAATCTACCAAGCTAACATTACTTGTGTTAACACCACTTTTTGAAAACAACTTAACTTTCTGCAAACTGTGTTGTTTTTTTCTCTTTTAGGAGGGAGTGAAGACAGAGAACAATGAGCACATCAACCTGAAGGTGGCAGGGCAGGATGGCTCAGTGGTGCAGTTCAAGATCAAAAGACACACTCCTCTCAGCAAACTGATGAAAGCTTATTGTGAACGGCAGGTGAGACTGCTGCACAAATACTACTACTATTCAAAAGGAGTCATATTTGTGTTCATTGCATTCATTGAAGTTCTAATATCTGGATATTGTGACACATTTTCAATCGTCTAAATGAATGGAATTGAAACAATAATTACAATGTCTTATGAAATATTTTAATTAATCATTTTTTAAATTTTAATGGTATTTGCCAGTTCTGCTATTATAATTATGGTTCATGTTTAGCACCTTAATGCTTATGTCACAGGGCGCCTCATTATGTTGATTTTCAGTATTTTAAAATTAATATTTCTCTTATCTATCTCCAAAGGGGCTGACAATGAGGCAAATACGATTTCGATTTGACGGGCAGCCCATCAATGAAACTGACACACCATCGCAGGTCAGGCTTCACCTTCTCATTCAGCCTACATGAATACTTACAGTACCAGTCGAAAGTTTGGACATACCTTCCTGTTCACTTGAATGAGAGAGTGCATCCAAACTTTTGAATGGTTCTGTATCTCACAGAATTGTTACCTTGGACATTGTGCATGACCTGGATTTTACACTTTGGTGTCACTTTTTATGTTGTGTGCTACTTATTTAGGTATTTCTACAAACCATGTGGGAGCAGGATTTACAAATAATTTAAGTTCCTCTGAAACAGAACTTACAGACGATGCTATTCCTTATTGCAAAATACATTTTAATTGAAGACATGTTTACAGCACATGTACTATTTAATTGGTGTACTAACTCTGTATTACACTATGAAAGTTTTGTTAATATGACTTAATTGATACATGATAAGTTTATGTCCTGAGAATGTCCTGATGGTGGACATACACTCATGTCAGCTTTCTCCAGTATGTCATATGCTACAGTGCTGGTATTGTACAGAGATAAAGCATAGATTTCACAAATAGCCCGGAGCAGCTGGAAACAACTCCATGATGCAGCTGCGCTGCCTCTTTATGACCATAGAACAGATGCATAAAAGCTCTTGTCTACTTCCATTTGGGGAGTTCAGGTTAGCCAAAAACTCTTCTTCCAACCACTTTAAGCTTGGTTTCCTCTCTTTGTTTACATCACATCTGTAACGTCTTTGTATTGACCTATCCTATTTTTTTAAGATGTAATAAAACAAAAAAAATTCCAGTTTCAAACTAACTTTCCAATGAAAAGTAGAATAAAAAAGCCTAAATCTACTGTCTATTACTGTTTAACTAACTTTGATTGCATTAGCTGACCTCAATGGAAGTTTCAAAACTTCAGCTTAAGGGGCTTCACAGTAAAGACCTACCACTGCCTTCACATGTAAAAGCACTAATTGTGGAGCACATGGAGGAAGTGTTAAGTTAGTAACAAATGGAGTGGAAGGAAAAGAAGAAGCAGAACAGAGATCAGTGTTCTGACAGCTGCATTGTCCCAGCGACTGTCATTCAGCAAAGTTATAACTATCAAATTATGATAAATAAGGCATTATGTCTTTCACACAACTCAAGTAAAAGACTACACTCACAATTGTACATTTTCTTACAGCTAGAAATGGAGGATGAAGATACGATTGACGTCTTCCAACAGCAAACCGGTGGCTCTTCTCTTTAAAGACTGTTTCCTACGAACATCCCTACCTCCCCTTTTGACCCCTGAACATGCCCAGTCTTCAAAAGCTCATGACCAGTGTTGATACCATCCAGTGGAATACTTGCCTGTGAAAATGCTCAAAGGCAGCAACACAGTTGGTGTAGATAGATTTAATCACATTGTCCATTTGTATGTTAACATGTCTGATCTGCACAGTGTAGACAACTTTTAAGCTGCAGTCTAATGGGCTGAAGAAATCAAAATCTTGTCATGATAACTTTTTTTTTCCTGGAAGTTTTGGATTAAACCGCCTTGGTCCTTTTTTTTGTTTTTATACTTATGTCATTGAGGTTTTGATTCAGATGGAATTTTGTTATTGTTGTCAAGTAAGCCTGCATTTTAAATTCACATCTGTTGTTATGGAAATGTATTATTGGAATAAATTGAGTCTTTTTTTTAACATATATCTCCGTTTGTTTTATGGATACTTTAGGAGTCTAAACCAGCAGATATCGTCAGAACTAGTAAGTGAAATGTTAATTAAAACTGTATTAGTTTTCTTAGCCTGCAACAGTAAACTGCATAACCAGAGATGTGTAACAAATGAAAACAGTCCTTTTCGGGGTCATAAGATGGTTTTCATTTAGTTATGTCTAATGCCCTGCTTTAAAAATGTTTGCTAAGGTTAGAGAACCTTGAGCTTGAATGACATGGAACACAAATTATATTTGTGCAGGTATAAGTTAGTATTGTTTTGCTTTTTTACCCTGATTGAGTATACAAGTCAGCACTTGTTGTTCATCCTTGGGTTGCAGAAAGGCCTTTCACAGCCTTAGTGCCTGTTCAGTATCACTGTCCTGCTACGGAAAAGAAGGTGCATCATGGTAGCTCTCTGATAATATATGTACAAGTCACCATCTTGGGATGAAAATAGGCATAATGTATATCCACATTTGAATATTTTCACAATCATGTTTGGAAGAGTTTTCTCACACAGTTGTCTCCTGACATGAGACAGCTTTGTCTAGTCTGTAGTAAAATACTTGCTTCAAGTCTACAACAGTGACAATGACACTTAATCAAAATGATGTCTACTCTTCTGCTGGGCTGCAAGAAGGCTACGTTTTCTTCTTTTATGCAGGTACTATTCTGTGTCAAATGTGGCGGCTTTTTATTGGTCTTCTAACAGCATGATGAAATTATCTCTGTCCTCATGGATGAGAACTCCTGTCGGATCTTCCATTTAAACCGGAGTTTGGCCTCTGACAACGCCAGCGCGCACTAAATGACTGGCCTCAAACTGCTTTGCTGAAGGGTTTTATTTTCACTTCCAGATAATTCTTGGAATTTGAAAGCCACTCTGACAGGAAGCACAACCATATTTTGACATAGTACTTCATCATCTCAATTTAACGAAAGCGAAAAATAATTCTTGTATCCACCCCGCACCAAAATGTATGGGTTTTTCATTGGCCCATGCTACACCCTTCCGCCAAGTTTCATGAATCATGCCAATAGTTTTTCAGTAATCCAGCCAACAGACAAACAAACGGCACCGCAAATATAATATATACATAATAATATATAACGTTAATTAGCTATAAAAGATAAATGCTCCTCATTTTTATACATGCCGAAAACTGCCGGTGGACTTGGTCAACTGTGCAATCACAGGCTTGATTACTGTTTTAGGATCCAATCATAGAAGTACCTGTTCATTTGTGGCCGTTACTTACGCTATTGATACACCCTCTCCACAATTGACTGTTGCACCATCACCTCTGTGTCAAATCCATGGATATATTTAAGGGGAATCACAGAGGTATAAGCAGAGAAAGACAGGAAATACGGAGCTTTTGCCTCCAAATTAAGCTCCGGAAGTGTTACTCTTGTTGTAGTACAGATTCATAAACAACAAATCCTTAACCTTAGATAACGTAGTTCTTACATAAGTAATTTAGATATAATTTTTTAGAACTTTGATATTTTCTGAAAACTGCCCCAGCCTAAAGTTGTCAAGTTGATATATTTATTTTGAAATGTTAGCCGGAAGCTGGGCATATCCTGGTGAGTTTAACACTGATCCGCTCAGACTGGAGGCAGGTTGATTATTGGGAACCACCGGCTAGGATAGACAATGATGAGGCGGTGAAGTACTGCTAATGAGAGTGTATTTCGCGTGTATCCTGTCAGATTTATATAAACACTTTACGACGACTTGTGCAAAAAAAAATGACGACGACCACGACATATCAAGGGATGGAGCCCGGTTCTAAAAGCAGTTCCAGGTAAAAGGCGTCGTTCAGACTGTTCCGTAACCCGTTAACGTTAGCCACCATGAAGCCAACAAGCCCAGCATCTTCTGACGTAACGTTAAACCTCAAATTTAGGACATTTTCTGTGCAGACCACTGCCCGTAATTGTTACTTAATTGCTTCAAAATGGTTGCAGCAAAGCACGGGACGACGATGCTAGGATGAAGCTCGGTACCACACCTTCCCGTTTTGTCTGTTGGGATGGACCGTTCCCATTTTTAACGTTAGCTAGCAAGATAGCACACATGCAACCTCCCTTTTGTAGAGAAGCTGCTTAGCTAGCAAGTAACGTGCAGACTAGGCGGCTCGGCACCAAACGAATGTGTTAAATGTAGGCCTTTTACCGTGGCGTGTACTTATATTTCTGCATTACTTGTATCGTTTATTATCTGACAAGGGAAGATTTTTAAGATCTGGCATTGCAGTTGGGTGGGGCCTCCTTGGATTTCGGATCAGTGAATTACAATAAGACATCCTCTGGTCTGCCCTGCATATGGCCTCACTGAAGCGATGGCCATGTTACAGCTGGCTACACCTGACAATAACCCGATATACGTGTTTTTTTTTAACCATGGGGGGTGTAGTGAAAGGAATCCAAACCCGCTGATATTCCAGCGATATCAAAACTGCAAAAAAAATATTCACAGTGATTAAATGAAGGATTGGGTTTTCATTAAGTGACGTAACTGTGATAAATTGCATCACAGCGTGACAACAACAATGACAGTAATGCCAATTACAAAAATACATTAGACCAAATGTATTAAGGACAGTGCGAAATCACTATGTAGTGTTACCTTTCAATTTTAAAGGAAAATGACATAATCAATATGGATGTATACCTGTGTAAACGCTACAATAAGAACTCCAAAGCCAGTTTATTAAGCAGACCTAGTTAAAAATAGTGCAGTTTAATACAACAGCACTGCTATAAATCCTATCCTCATAAAGGTCATTTTGGAGGCTGTAGTTAGCTGCTGTTGAAGTGTACTGCATTATACTGAAAGGTGTTCTTAATATTTAGCCTGCCCTTATTGATATAAATAAGTTTAATAAAAAAAAACCCTGTAATAATAACATTATCATTTTTACAGGTAATACCAATTATACCTTCAATTTACCAACACAGCTGGAACAACACTAGCCTAAAGATAAAGTCCACATAGTCACGTTACAGGCAATTTAAAGGCCACATTAAAGACAATGATGATTGTTGACCTTCATTTGCATTAGTGTGAATGAACAATAGTTTCTCATTGACTTATTCTGGACATTCCTAGGTTGAACCATAGCATTTCTGTAGTTTCTTTTAATACATAATTTTAGAATCAAGTGAAGACTCCAGAAAAATCAGCCAGTACGATAGAGCTTTCAGAAACAGTGTTGACCATCTCTCTCTTTCCAGGGTTTTGCGCCCTCCTGGTGGTGGCTCCAACATTTCACTTGGTGCAGATGAGGAGAAGCCTCCTGTCCGGAAAAACAAGATGGCCTCCAGCGTTTTCGCTGAGCCAGAGGACCCCTATGCTAATCGAAGGAACAACCCGCCAGGTACAATCTACCTCATTGTAACATATGTGTTGCTTTAGTGTGAAAGCTTATAAGTGAATTTATCATATCCATCTTATTTTGACAGCTTACCACAGCATTTACTGGATGTTGTAACTTAAAAACACAACCTGAGCACAAAACCAGTCACAATGAGAAATAAGTTTGAGAATATATTTTCTTATGTTGTGGAGATGCAAGGTTTTCACTGCAGAGTTTTCTCTTGCTGGTTAAGCTGAGCCTCCCGAGGCTACTGAAGACTTGACACAGCAGAATACATAAGAATAATATTTGCTTTCTCCAGTGGAGCTGCTTGACACAACAAATTGGGTTTAGGTGCCTAAAACAATGAATTGATTTCACTTTCAGGCTGTCATTAGATATTCAATCACTGATGTTTCTCTATTCATCAGGATCTCTTAAACCTCCAGAGATCTGATATATTCAAATTGACTTGAGCTGCCTGAAGTCAGATCAAAGGGTTTATTATAGAATTTATAATGAAATATTATATCTTTAAGAGCAATAATAAGAGAACCGAATATTGTTTTATAGCCTAGTACTGTTTTTGGCTCAGTGTTTATTTTTCCAGTTCCTGTCTAAATGTAGAATGATACACAGCAAAAATTTTAGCTAATAAGGAAATGAAATATCATGGGAAGTAAAAGTTATGCTCGGTGTGTTTGTTTGATCTAGTGCAGTGGTTGTCAATGTTCATGTACAAAAAAAACTTGTGAAGTGCATTAAAAAATCAAAATGTGGCCACATTTCATGGTAACCTTGGCCAGTCATTACAAATACCTTTTCCAGTAAATACCTTTAGTTAATGTTACTTGTATGGGGTAATGTGTTATCATGTGTAATATTATTTTTTTAAGTTCCAGACCATCTGTGTTTGACACGGTCAGTGACATTTATTGATGAGAGAACAGGAGAATTTAACCAAGCTATTGCAAACCAGTTTTCCAACACATAGATATTACCTGTGTGGGCCGCCCAGGTATATGAACTATTTTAGTATTTTGCAGTGAAACGCAGAGAGAGATGTTATCTGGTATTACGTTACAAGACTCGAACACGGTGGATATTTTACAAGCACAGACAGGTAAATCAACAGTGAACAGTGAAGAGCACCAGTGCAGATATCATTTGGTACCACGTTGGTTTTGATGGGCTGCGTCATTAACAAGCCTCCTCCACATGCGGTGGACCTGCTGCTGTGAAAATAGACTTGCTGGTGGAAAAATCCAAAAGATGGAGTTCTGTGTGGTAAATAAAAAAAAAAAGACTATCCTTTGATGGATTTGAGTTTCATAGGAAAGCATCATCATGACAGATGCACTATCCATCCCCAAGACCCGGTAAACAGGAAGTTGAATTATAGTTGTAACAGAGACGGGCCATGTGCTCCTGGTTTTAGGTTTGCAAATGACCCAATCGTGACCCACTGTGTTATCCTAAAGAAAAAATTATTCACAGCCTCCAGTGATGGCCCTAGAAGGTGTCCAGGCTATAACATGATTTTTACTAATATGTAGTTAGTTAGTTAGCTAACATTACTAACTGATCATTTGCCACAAAAGTAGCGGGTAGCTTTTAAACGCTTGCTACTGTGAACCTGCAGGGTTCAGGGTCTGTTATGAACACTTTTTGACTTGTCTCATTATGTGGATATGTTGACTATTAATAAAAGCGGTGTGGATCAAGGCCAACAAGCTAAAACCAGCTAAACCACCATTAACATCACCACAGCACACGCTGAAATGCTTTATAGATATTTATCCAGTGTAATGAACATTTGTACTAATGTGAAGAAGGACAAAATGAATATTCTAAAGAAAGGGAAAAAACATTAATGTTAACAGCTCTTAAACATTTAGCCAAAAGTCCACAGATTTGGTGTAAATGTGAGAACTCCTTAGCAGGTATCAAGTGGGAAGTGTTTTGGCAACTTTAAATACATATGGCTTTGGCAGAATCTCATCAACGGAAGGGAAGACTGGGAAGCCCCTTTTATACTGGACAAAAAACCACTAACAATCGCTAACATCTAACTTTTCGACATTCACTCCCGGGGAAAATAACTCTGCAGTAGTCACTTGTATTTATCAGTTCCAGCTCCAGTTGGCAGTGATGTAAACGGGACACCCTGGTGGACACGCTAATCGCTAATCCCCCTTCCCCTTGCGCAGTGCGACTCTGTTTCTATCTGTGGATGTCTGTAAATGTCTCCATTGATATGTATATGTAGCAGCATGCTAGGCAATGACTTTATATCCATGCTGTGACGTCTTTCAGAGCACACAAACACTGTAAACACACCTGCCACCCAGACATGGGGACTCCAGTTTGAGACTCAGACTTGAGTCGCACACACAGTGACTTGAGACTCGTCCTCAAAAGACTTGACTCAGACTTGAGTTTATTTTTAGGAAACCTCTTATGAGCTGGCAGTTGTTCCCCTGCCTCCGTTACCTATAACCTGCCTACGTAACACATAACCTACTACGTATCTGCTGTGCACGGCCACACATGAGAGAGGACAGCAAATACCAGCAGATGCTGTACCATTCATTATGAATTTTGGCTTTAAAACTTCATACAACACCACCCAAACAAAGAAGTGCGGAATGCAAAATAGGTTAGCAAATTGAGATTAGTAAACATGTTTATCTCAGCATTGGCCATCTAATCTAACATCTAATGTTAGCTTGCTTCTTGTTTTAGCTACAACCTACGGGAGGGAGTCTGTTTGTTTGCTTGTGGTAGTCGATTAACCTAATCACTGTTGGAATTTCCAACATTAACTAATTTCTCTGCATCATAAAAGTAGGGTAAATCCACTTGGAGAAATCCAACACCATGACAAATGCTATGATATAGAGTGAACAATGGCAAGTAATTTACCAGTTCTGAGTAAACTTCACTCTCCTCTACGTTTGTTTGTCCTGAATGTCCACAACACTGGCATGTAGAAGAACGACAGCATTGAAGTTTCAATTTGAACGTTTGTTTGATGTAAATGCTCCGTATTTGTATAGCGCCTTCACCAGTCATACACTGAGCCTAAGTGCTCAAACGGAAACTAATATTCACGCACATTCAGGGGCATATCGGGGTTCAGTATCTTGGCCAAGGACACTTCGACACGCAGGGATTGAACCGCCGACCTTCCGATTAACGGCCAAACCTCTCTACCTCCTGAGCCACAGCCTAATTGATATTAGGCAGAGATAAAAATCCAACGTAAAACTAAATTTACCGGGGTTCAAATGGTGCAAAGCACCGCCCCCTTGCAAAAATATTACTGTAAAGTGTGGCACAACAAAAGAAACGAGCATAATTGTAAACAATACACATTTTTCATACCGCACAGCCCTACGTGTAAGCAATCAGGTAGTGCTGTGGGTGAGACATTGAGCGAGGTTACAGAGTGGCGACTACAGAGAGAAAGAAAGAAGCAGCAAAATCAGAGACAAAGTTACGCATTGAAAAATTAATTTAAGCCTAACTTTATGTCTTTGCTGATCCAAACCTTGACTCTGAACCGTGAGATTTGTGATCTGTTGCACCCTAGGATTTTGTATTGTGCACTGATTATATAATGCCCTGTGGTGAACTTCAAGTTCTTGTGTGCTTTGTGTTTCTTGTCATCCGTCTGTGGCTGACTTTGACATACCTGGTTGTCGGGTAAGGTGGAGTGCTTGTCATGTACTGAAAGACATGGGTCCTTTGTGCATGCAAATATGCAGGTAATGTTTTTGTGGAAATCTGCGATTCGAATATAATGGAACAACTGCAACTATGAGTCTACTTGCTTATCAAGGAAAATGCACAAAAAGTAAATACTGACATTTTATAATGTGTATAATTTTCATATTTAATTTGAAATTAGTACAATATAACATTAAATAAAGAGTATAATGTTCAGTTAATATAGTATACTATTGGTATAATGTTAATATATTAATTTCTGTATTCATTATAACGTCATAATAGTACACTATTTTATCACTAGTTTAATATTAAATCCAGTTATAATTTGTTAATACTAAGTACTAACTTGTCAATAATCATATTGTTCAATATTTGCATCTGGTGGGAAATGTGAGGTACTCGGAGTAACTGATCAGTGGGCCAGTAGTCAACCATTGCTGGGAGCTTATGAAAGCACACGAGGATGTTTATCCCAATGAAAGCTTTCATTTCCTCTTGGCATGTCTCAAAGCACAAGGTAGAGGAATTTGCAGCTTCTGAATTTTCTAATTCCCAACTTTGATTAATTTCAGTCTCCTCAGTTTCTTCTCCTGCGTCACTGCTTTCCCTCATTGAGCTCTGCTTGTACTGAATTCTCATCCTGAACTGACGCCTGACTTCCTACCTCACTTCCCTCACTCCACCATATCACTATTAACCTGCACTTTCTTGTAACCCCATACGCCCTCATGATGTGATAAGGCACCTATCAGTTTCTATGTAGCATGACACATTACTTACTATATACAGTGGGGAAAACAAGTATTTGATACACTGCTGATTTTGCAGGTTTTCCTAATTACAAAGCCATGTAGGTCTGTAATTTCTATCATAGGTACACTTCAACTGTGAGAGACGGAATCTAAAACAAAAATCCATTTATTGCATGACGTAAGTATTTGATAAATCAGAAAAGCAGAACTTAATATTTGGTACAGAAACCTTTGTTTGCAATAACAGAGATCATATGTTTCCTGTAGTTCTTGACCAGGTTTGCACACACTGCAGCAGGGATTTTGGCCCACTCCTCCATACAGAACTACTCCAGATCCTTCAGATTTCTGGGCTGTCGATGGGCAATATGGACTTTCAGCTCCCTCCAAAGATTTTCTATGGGGTTCAGGTCTGGAGACTGGTAAGGCCACTCCAGGACCTTGAGAGGCTTCTTACGGAGCCACTCCTTAGTTGTCCTGGCTGTGTGTTTCCGGTCGTTGTCATGCTGGAAGACCCAGCCATGACCCATCTTC